GCAGCCCAGCTCCAGGTTGAGCTGTTGTTCAGCATCTTAGATGTAGAGGGCAGTGTCACTGGCCCTCATATGTGGGATCTGAACCGGGGCCCTCTGGCGTCCCAAGCCAGCTCTTAACCATTGCACCACTTGGCCGGCCCCACCCTATGTCTTTTGATTGGAGCATTTAATCCATTTACATTTAAACTAATTGTTGATAAATATGTAGTTCTTGCCATTTTATTATTCATATTTTTTGTCTCTCTCCTTCTTCTTCCCCCTCACCTTTCTCAAGAAGTCCCTTTAACATTTCTTGTAATACTGGTTTGGTGGTGATGAATTCCTTTAGCTTTTTCTTGTCTGGCAAGCTCTTTATCTGTCCTTCGATTCTAAATGATAGCTTTGCTGGGAAGACTAATCTTGATTGTAGATCCTTGTTTTTCATCACTTTGAATATTTCCTGCCAATCCCTTCTGGCCAGCAAAATTTCTGTTGAGAAATCAGCTGACAGTCTTATGGCAGCTCCCTTCAAGGTAAATAACTGATTTTCTCCTACTGCTTGTAAGAGTCTCTCTTTGTCTTTAACCTTTGGCATTTTAATTATTTTGGGCCTCTTTAGGTTCATTTTGTTTGGGACTCTCTGTGCTTCCTGGGCTTCTATGTCTATTTCCTTCACCAGGGTAGGGAGGTTTTCCATTATTTCTTCAAATAGGTTTTTAATTCCTTGCTCTGTCTTTTCTCCTTCTGGTACCCCAATGATGCAAATCTTGCTGTACTTGAGGTTGTCCCAGAGGCCCCTTAAACTATCCTCATTTTTTTGGATTTTTTTTCTTTTTGCTATTCTGATTTGGTGTTTTCTGTTACCTTATCTTCTAAATCAGTAATTCAGTCTTCTGCTTAATCTAATCTACTGTTGATTCTCTCTAATGTATGCTTCATTTCAGTTATTGTATTCTTTATTTCTGACTAGTTCTTTTTTTATGTTTTCTAACTCCATTTTTATGTTTCCTATCTCTTTGTTGAAGTTCTTCCTGAGATCACTAAGCATCCTTATAACCAGTGTTTTGAACTCTGTGTCTGGTAGATTGCTTGTCTCCATTTTGTTTGGTTCTTTTTCTGGAGCTTTGTTTTGTTCTTTCATTTGGGACATGTTTCTTTGTCTCCCCATTTTGGCTGCCTCCCTGTGTTTGTTTCTATGTATTAGTAGAGCTGCAATGTCCCCTGGTCTTAGTAGAGTGGCTTTATGCAGTAGGTGTCCTGTGGGGCCCAGTGGCCCAATCTCCATGGTCACCTGGGCCGGGTGCTCCAGGTGTGTTCCTTGTGTGTGTTGTGTATGTCCTCCTGTTGTAGTTGAGCCTTGGTTGCTGTTTGCACATCAGTGGGAGGGATTGACCCCCAGGCTGATTGATTGTGAGGACTGGCCATGACCTACAGTGGAGTAGTTGTTATGCAGGGACTGACCCTACAGAGCAAGATTTGCTTTAGCAGAGCTCTAGTGCCTGCACAGTCTGCCCTTTGGGTGTGTCATTTCTGGAGGTGGTTGGGTGGTGTTCTGGGTGGTCTGAAGCTGGCCACCGAATGTGTTGGTTCTGGGACCTCTTGGGAGGGACTCTGTTTCAGGCCAAGGTCAGCCGTTGCCTGTGCCCTGCCCAAGGCCACTTGGTATGAGCTATAAAGTGATCTGTACATGGGTGCCACTTGTGCTGGTCTTGGAGGTGCCTGGGAGAGCCTAAGCTATGAACCAAGGCTGGCTATTGCTGGTACCAGGCTTGGGGCTGCTTAGCAAGAGATATGGGGCACACTGAGGCCAGATGCTGCTTGTTCGGAGTTTGTGAACCTTTGAGAGATTTTAGGAAAGTCCACAGCATGAGCCAAGACAGGCTATTTGCAGGAATAAGACAGGAAAAGCCACTAGAAGCAGCTTGGGTGGGCCCACAAGTTGGGTTGTGCAGGGTCTCAGGGAATCACCTGGGTGAGGTGAACAGTGTTAGCCAGGTTGATAGACACTCAGATCAAGCTTTGATTCTTTTGAAACTTTTGATTCTTTTAAAGTCATTTAAAAACTAATGAGATATTACAGGACTAATACGCATATGTTCTTCATCCAGAATCACCAATTCTTAACATTTTTCCACGTTTGCTTTCACTGTCTTCTCAATTTATCTATGTACTTGTATGTATGTATGTATGTATGTATGTATATACACACAGATATATTAAAACTGTATTTTCTGAAACATTTGAGAGTAATTGGCAAACATAATTCCTCTTTACCCCTAAAGACATCATTGTGTATCTCTTAAGAACAAGGATATTCTCTTACATAACCACAGTTAGTTATCAATATCAAGAACTTTAACATTGATAATTATCTAATATACAATATGTAATATACAGTTTCCCCAGTTTTCACAATAATGTCCTTTATAGCATCTTGCCCGNACCCCCCGGCCCCAATCCAGGATCCAGTCCAGGTTCATGTATTGTGTTTTGTTGTCGTGTCCCTTTAGTCTTTAATCTGGAACAGTTCCTTAGCCTTTCCTTGACTTTCATGACACTGACAGTTTTGAAGACTATCCTTCAGTTTGGGTTTGTTTCTTGCTTCCTTATAATTCGATTCAGGTTATTCATTTTTGTCAGGCATATCACAGAAATGATGCTGTGCTCCTCTCAGTGGCTCATGTCAGTAGGCGTTGAATATCAATTTGTCCTTTATTGATAATATTAACTTTGATCACCTGGCTAAGATGGTGTCTCTCAGGTACTGTGAAGTTATTATCTTTCCATTTGTAATTAATAACTCTTTTGTGGGGAGATTCTTTAAGACTATGGAAATATCCTATTTCTCATTCTTTTTTAATTAAAGTTTATTGGGGTGCCAATGGTTAGTAAATTTACATAGGTTTCAAGTGTACAATTCTGCAATACATCACCTATATATCACATTGTGTGTTCACCACCCAGAGTCAGTTTTCCTTCCATCACCACATATTTGACTATTTCTCATTCTTTTGTCCACTGAGTTTAGCATCCAGTGATGATTCTTGCCTGTAACAATTAATTACTTGCTGTTTCCCTAACAGTATTTTTCTAATTCTGTCATTTCTTCTACATTGATTATTTGGTCTTTTACTATATGAAAAAACATTCCTCACTTTGATGATGAAAGGAAAACGATGTGCCAGGCACAATGAGCACACTTGATTTGCCATCACTAATAGGAACTATAGCTTCTTGTTCCTATTGGTGGAGAAATGACTGACTCCAGGGTTAGAACAGAGAAAGTACAAAATGGTCTGGAAGAACTCATTGTGCTGGAAATTAATGAGGTGCTCAAAAAGTTAGGAACATGTCAAAAGGACACAGGAGTCAGCTTGAAGGAGCTCTCTCTGGCCAAATCTGAGACAATTTGATTAGCAAAATAAATAATGGTGGTAATAGATTATAACCCACTGAATAAGGTAGGAAGTCACCAGTCCATATGATAAGTAGGTAGGCAGACAGAGAAGAAATGAAGGTTTCTTTTTAATACCATCCTGATCTTTTATGGTTTGTCCATTAACTTCTCCAGTCTTTCTGAGAATAATATTGGTAGTTCATTACAAACTTTTAAATTTTGAAATAGTTATAGATTTATAGAAAGTTTCAAAGATGGTAAGGGGGTGTCCCATGAAACCATTTACCCAGTTT